TGATACTAACAGGTTGCCAAAATCGAGTGGTGTGTAAAGCTGAATTTTAACTTCCTATCAGACTTAGGCTGAGTGCTTTTATCATTAAGTTAACACAAGTCACATATTATCAGTTGGTATATGGTAACAAAAACACTATAATAGTTCAGAATCTAAATCATTAGATATTAAAAGATTTTACTAGACGAAGATTATGTTAGTAAAATATCATGAAACTACATTATGTTCTGCTAGGAAAAACGTCAATTCATTCTTACGATACTGTCCAAAGAAATCCATATATAAACCTTTGTTATTCAGCTTATAGTAGGTCTGAATGGTATCTCCTTTGTTTAAGAACCAGCATAATGATAGCAAAGCCTGTCATAGGATATGCACATAATTTTCAATAAACTGGGTGATCCTGTCAACAGTCAAATGTTTGCCTCAGAGATTGAAGCACATATGTCTAAGTTCATAACATACTTCTGTGAAAGATTACTAAAAGGATCATCATCAGAAGCTTCATTTCTTTAAAAATTTAGTAAAGGTAACATTATTTAACTACTTTATATAAATAAAAACTTCCTAGATCCCATCTGGTTATGGATTCTAGCTAAACTAAAAGTATGTCATGTCTCCTTGAAGTCACTAACTTCTAGTCTGAGCCATGTTGGTATATGTAGACTACTTGGTTGGGGTCCGCGTGACTATCGTAGCCAATGGTTGAAGACTCTGGATGATATGGCTCAGAATCGATCACAATGGTATCGGTGTATACATTCTCTGTCTTCCCTTCAACTATCAGATTAAAATCGCTTCATATCTTTCTTTCTGCCAGCTAATACTTTCTTCCTGTACTATGTCCTTTTATGGAATCTTATTTTATCTATTACCACCATTGACTTAACTACTCCTATGAATTCGGTGTTCATATTGTTGTTTTAATGAGGTGTGGCAACTTAGACCGATGCACATATGTCCCTGGTCCTACATTGTAGCTGACTGACTGATGTCTTGTCTGTTTTTACAGTTAAAACCTAATTCAAAACATCTAATTAGCATTTACAATAATTTAAATGATCTGGACACATTTATCATACGGTGGTGAGTATTATTTCTCTATCCTGAAGAATTACAATCAGAATGATTAACGTTGCAGTGAAAAAATCACCGTTTAGTTGCTGAATTAGCACCCTAATAGTCATTATCAAATTTTCAAAAAAAATAACTGATACTGAGAAATGACGATAACATTTTACCAACTTTTTTCAGTATATGTCAGTTTCATTAAACTATAGTTTTCTGGATACAAAATCTTCTTCGTACTTACATCATCATACGGTTTATTAACAAAAAAAAGACTAGTGTTTTGACATAACACCTACTGAAACCCAACAGCCCATTATTCAGAAACTAAATATTTCTTCACTAAAAAAACACTAATTTTGCAAATAGCACAGAACTAAATTCACAGAAAAAAAATAATGATCATTGTTTTTCCATGTTGACATAAATTATTACCTATATAAAGGAGCCAAAAACAAAATCCAGATGAAAGAATACTTACCTAAGTCAGATAATTTTGTTATAAAAAAACTATATTGATGAATGGACCAAATACTTTATTTGTTGAAACAACTTCACATAACTGTGTGAATACTAGAGTCCATAAACTTGCGACAGTAGTCTTCAGGTGACATTAAGGTTAACATCAATTTTGAAGAGAAGATATGAAATATCTATTAAATTTTTAAACTTCTAGCCACTACATGTCTTTCTGATGCATTGCAATGCTTTGAAAATATTCACGTTTACAATCCCATATTAAAAAGTTTATTTATGCAATATTTTATGACTAGTTTATTAAAAATCGTATTACCGCGTATTGTAAAATTACAAGAAATTAATTTGCTTCAACACCGAGAGAATGTTCTAAATCATGATTTTCTTATTGTCAGGCAAGTTGAAAAATAAATCTTACTATTAAGAAAGTGGTTAGATAAAAAAAAAGTGATATTTGTACCATTTTTAAATTATCAAAGTAGAACACATTGACTAACTAATAGCATCATGATGGTATTTAGGGTGAAAAAATTGGTGCACTAGCTTACGACCAAAACTAATTAATGTTACATAATGTTTTTTTCGAAAGCAAATTACTCATCTAACAACTAGGCTTTCGGTTCAATGGATAAGATTAGCAACAGTTCTACTGGATCAACATGAATACTTTTAAGTAGCATATAAATCATCAACATTTTTAATGGTCCAGTTCTGCATAGGCGTTGTCTTCTTTAAACCGTTTTGAAAGTTTGTTGAATAGAATTGTACATGCCTCCAGTGGCCTGAGCATAATCCAATAATATTTACTAAAATTTTAATGGGAGCTACGACCAAAGGAATTCAGCCTCGTGGGATGTCACTTATTCAGAGCCATCACAGAATGAAACAGCCATAATCAAGGCTGCACATGCTTAACTAACGTTGAAAATATTCTCGTGCCTCCAAGCCCGTCTCTGTTATCTGCTATGCGTTATGTTAGTTGTTGAATTGCAATAGTTGTCCAAGTAGTGTTTGAGATTTAGGGAACCATATCTCATTTAATGGCTTAATAAGTAGTGAACTTTAACATAAGTGACTTAATCTCTGGAATATGCATATAACTACTTAGAGGATCACCTAGTTACTTCACAATTGTACCACCAGGATAAATGAAATCCATCATTTAGCGAAACAGTTTTGTATATGAAACTAGAACAATTCTACTAAAACAATGTCAAGCTTTAAAGGAATATATATCTGAGGTTAATTAAAAAGGTTGCTAGTCAGTTATGGTATCTATTTTCAAATTCCTTAAATGATAACAGTATAAAATTGTTCAGCGAATTGAATTATGCAATTATTTTACATCTGGATAACAGTCAACTGCCAAGAAAGTTCAATTGATGACAACTTTTAGAGTGTTTTCTTTTTGTAGTACTTTTAACCAAATTGATAAACACAATTTATCATCTGGTCGATAAAATTTGTTAAGCATCGAAGACAATACTATAAGTAATCGTGCTCTCTAGTTGGTAGCACATGTACGTTATCCAGAAATTTTTTTAGTTCAATGTCATATGAATAACTTAGTAATAAGCCCACGATTGATTCATGCAAAGGGAAATTATAAACTGTGTTAGTTGTTTTTTTCCGCTCTCAGATATGTAGGTCATTTACAGAGGAAATCAACATAAGATAACAACAATGCAGACACAAATCAGGAAAATCTAAAGAAAGCGTGTAAGCTGGAAAATCGATATAATGAAGACACCAGTTGATCCATGATAAATAAACGGATAAGAGCTTTCATCCAAACAAATAATTACTTGAAAGTGGTTTATTTTTGTTAATGTATTTACTGTCTTATTTTCACTCTTTCTATCAAATAGATTTTAGATGGTGAAATATGAATTTACATGCTATATATATGTTCAATTTTACATCTAATATTCGTAGTTTATGCATTCAATTATTGTCCAACAAATAGGATTACTAGAACATATACATATTCATAGTGATTTTGTTTCGTGTAATCTTAAAGCGTTGAGTTTTGTAAACAAAACAAAAGTAGAATAATTTTTTATGAGATTCACTCTTTTGGGAAACATAAAGTTAAAAATTTTTATTTTCGTTTGAAAAGTAACGAAAGAAATGCCAATACGACGAAATTTACTTTCATGACGTGAATCATATGAACTCTTTGACATTTTAAAAGGTGCCATAATTAAATTACGAGCTCCTTTCTTTTCAAGTTCATGCTCTTTATTTTTATCAAGGCTAGCAAAATAAAATTAGCGACTATTGTAAAATTCTTACGCAAATATAGTTTCTGTTTTACCAAATCACTTACTATGGAACTAGGTGACTAAAGTGAAATTAAACCATACACTTTAAATGAATGATCAGTCAATAAAACGGGAAATCTCAGTTCAATTACAAGCATAACTCAAGCCTTCTTGTAAGTCTCTACCACAACTATCCTTACTAACTCTTGAATATAAAATTCAGATTTTGTTTCCTTTGTTGGATTAAACTCCGTGTCATAAAGTTTCTCTTTCTACATACTAGCATTCAGAAAATATTTAAATGAGATTTTAGCATTCATAATTCCTAATTGTCTTTGTATAATTTCAAAGATATTATCCACTTTAATAATTCGTAAGAGAATATAACCGGGATTAAGCATATTAATTACTTAACTCCGTGAATATCATTATACAGTACTTACAAAACAACCTGAAGACACCTGATCGCAGTCAGACTGATCAACCATACTTAAAACGTTTAATAAACGTAGTGAAAATTTTTCAGAGGATTTTCTAAAAGGTACTTCTATAATGCTTGACCACAATATTCAAATGAAAGTAATCACTGATTGTTTCAGTGTAGTAATCTATTCATTATAAATTTTACTGCCAACTAACTTATCAGTATTTTCTTCAAACTTACAGACCTATCCAAGCGTAAATACGCATTACATTAAAAAAATACTCAGTAACAAACATTTTGGTAAGCCACAGTTTTTATTATAGTATTACTAATGATCATTGTAAATTTCTTGTGTACGACTACAGCTCTAGTGGTTATCAGTTTCCAAATAACAAAAAAAATTTAGCCAGTTTCCATTTGGGGATTGAAATCACCGGGCAAATTGTTAAAAAATCAGAGAGAACTGAATGGGAACGTTTAAGATATTTCATCGATTACTGTTATTCCATAATGAAATATCATAAAAGCTACTTATTTCGTAAATATTAATTGTTCAACCGATTGATTGCTGGAAAAACTGACTTCTATTTAGGTGTTTCTAATCCAGACCTCATAAGTAACAATTCAGTCTACAAATTTTCAATAAGCATTGAAATGTCTATAAGTTGATAACTTAGAAAATATTCTGCCGTGAGATATAAATCACATCTTTGCACTACAAATTATTAATGGTAATTATTCAAAATAAAATCACTACAACTACTCACGTGTAAGATTGTGAAGTTCTCCAAAACGGAATTCATTAATTCTCGCTGAGGCAATTGTAATAGCTTCCCAATAAATTTCTTCATATAATCACACATAGGACTACGTAAAAACCGATATACAAAACGTCCATTTTCGGGTCTAGGTTGTTCATCCTTGATTTTACAGCAGGAACAACAAAATATTGAATAATAAAATGAAACAGTAAACAGGTGTCTTCCATTATACATGATGTTAAGTTTTTAATGATGTTATTTGATAAAATATTAATCATTTATTCTGGCATGAACTGATTAAATACAAGCCAAATAATGAATTTAAACTTACCAATGTAAATTTTTTCTTAACCTAAAGTCTTACAAACTCATCGTACGTTACTTTACTAAAGACTGATACCAAAAATACAGTAGGGGAGTATCACCGCAACTAAATAATAGCGAAATACACAATCTGAGTCAGTGGCATTTTCAGCAACTAATCATATTACAATGCATGTGCAGTGAATTTATCATTTAAAGCACGAGTTGCCATTGATACTTAATAGGATGCAAAATGTGTAGATTAATATTGGGATATGCGTTTGTTTAAATATTTGACCCATTCAACGACAAGACTTTATTATTGGAATATGTTACCCTATGGAATGTCCTTATAAATTAATATATTCGGTAAATAACTCGAAATACTCAGTAGTACGTGATCTGAAAACTAGCTGCATTTTACCTTGATCATTTAATAAAATTTCAAGTATACAGATATTGACTATAAAGTTCACAATTTTTTAAAGATTGATAACATATTAGCGGTCATTTGCAAACTATTACAGCAGTATCAACAAATGAACAGTAAATGTACACAGTGATCATAGTCAAATGATAATATAGCAATCTGAAAATTAATGCTGAAGGAATTTCGACATAGTAACTCAGACATCGGTTATCGAATTTCTGGGTTGTCACTTTCAATACCATTGATTATCTGAATTATATTCAGCGATCAGTGCCCTTGATGAGTACATTTATTTGGAGATAGCACTCGTTAAAATTTGGTATCAGCCAAAGAACCATTGGAAAACAAACAGCAATACACAGTTGCTTCATTTCATAGTCTGTATTCTCTATCAGCGAGGTCTAAATGCTCTGGATTAGGTCCTGCATTTCGTGGTTTGTGAAGGCTTCTGAAGAGTTTTAAACTATGATAAAAGGCGTCATTAACACTCCATGGTTTATAGTTATTCAATTTATTTCATGAGCCATATTTAATCTATCCGATAATAATTTATTCAGTTTTCATCTGTTTTCACAGCATATTAAAATCTATTTTTTAATTTATTAAAGCTTTAAATTATTATAGGTGAATATGAACACTTGCCGTTAGTATGATGATTTACAATAGGTTTGGTGAGATCCAAAGGCACGTTGTCTAATATGAATTCTCTCTAAAGTTTTTACGTACTTAAACATGCACTCATTCGCCATTTAAAAAATACAGTTTTATTCTGTGTATGAGAATATTAGCCTGTACTGAAATTGATTACAATATTAAATATGCTCATAACAAAACGTCAAGACAATTTTTATTATCGTGCTTAGAGTGAATTTAATAATTAACGTTTCTGGTTTGTTTTTAAATGATTCATTAGATGAATTCGTATCCGTCTATATCATCACGCTGAGCTAATGGTAAACATACACATTTTCACTCAAACATATTAACGATTTACACTAATAAGCAATGAGCCGGCTCGTACGCTTATCTGTGTAAATACATACACACAATTAGTATGGTTATTAGTTTTTAATATTACCACTAGTAAACACAGAGACGTTATCAGTTTACTGAAAACATTTATAAAAAAATGATATGAGAATAACTAAATATTTATTCTTCAAATTAATTACTTAAAGTAATTCATCACATTTAATAGTCATTGTTTTCTCGGAGAGAAAAATGCTAGTAATGATAATAAACAAAGTGAAGTTGGATTGCTTCTTATTAGGTACTAACTAGTTACAAAAATTGGTAACTATCTAATCAATCAATGTTTTTAATAATGACACGTTATGAAGGAAATTGTAGTAATATTTACAATGTAACATAGTGACACCATAATATAAAGAGAAGGAAAACCATGGTTTTCATACCTCTATTTTTTCTAATACTTCTTTGCCAAATGAGCAAACTTTAGTTGATAAGTTAATTGGAACATCTTCCGTACCCTCGAAACTAATAAAAAAGGAAACAAATAAGAGGATATCATCTAACAAGAATTTGTACATTGACATTTAATAGAAATACTCCTTCCTGAAGTTATTCAACTGTAATTCGTCGGTGTTTTAAGTAATTTTAAAGTACTGTAAGATGCAGTTTTGGTTACTTGGATAGTGGGATGTTAAAACTATATTCCTGGATAACAAAGCTTTAGATGAAACTAGTCAATGTAACTTTTCATTATATTTTTTTATATAGTTTATATAAAAATAGGAACTTTTAAAGTTACTTTAACTAGTTAGTACAAAGTGACATTGTGTGTTTATTGTATTGACTGGATTATTTTAATCCCTCATTAATTGTAATGTATTACTCGGTCTCTATTATTTTTCTTTATATTTTAAATTATGCATTGTTGCTAAATTTCACGCAAAATCTGTTATCATTATACAAGAGTCTGTTTATTATCCATCTCCACTACGAACCTACTTTAAGGATTATTTCGTCCTAGTAAAGGACTTAACAATAATGTGAATCCATGAACCCATTAAAAGCATTCCAATATACATCCCGGTGCAAAGCAATGAACACATGTATTATTTTTTTCATAAACACATCATTTAGGGTTTCCAGTCGAAGGTAAAGCTCTACCCTTCTAGTTAATCCATGGGATCCCACTTTATATATCAAGTAAATGTGTTAAATATTTTCTTGTCTTAAGTATATACATTTAAAAGAAGTACAACAGTATAAGTCTCAGTATGATCTATTTTCATGAGTTTTAGTTAAGTATGGAATTTCGAAAGAAAATCTCATATTTAATAAGTTATATAATAGTTCTTAGATGTACACTCTTAAGTACTAATGATTTAAGCAAATTGTATATGATCTATCAATATGAATTACTAAAAATTGTTCAATATAATCATCTCTGACTAATCATCATGATTAATAATGGTGATGAAGTAGTTAGAAATAAACAAGTATATCCCTTTAAATAGACTAATCAGTTGTTGTTGAACATATTTGTATTGAAACTTGAAAAGTATAAATCTCTATTACCAATGGAACATGATTAGTGACTCATTACATTATTGATTACGTTGTACAAACTTAACTATCATGGATTTAAATATTGTAACGAATAGATTAAACTACTACAAACTATATTTGAGTTACATATTTTGCAGACTTGTAAACAGACATTATTTGATTTTTATGAATAAATCCATTGTCGTCAATTAAATATTCTTTCCGCTCTGAGGTAGGCAAACTTCCTGGTGTGTAAACTATGTTTTTAAACAGAGAACATTAGCATAGATCATTTTAAAACAAAGGTAACTGATAAAGACACTACTAACAACAGTAATCTTAATAAATATGCTCATCAATAATATAAACTCACATAGCTGACACAGCGAATGTGGCATCTGGTTCAACCATCACATTGACATCAGCCTATATCCAGTAACGATTGGACGAACAAATATTGCATGAAATAGAGAGAAAGATCACATTCACATTATGAAATACACAACCATAATAATAACAATAAGGAAGAAAATCGTAAGATGGTGCATAATGTATCACATATTTACACAAACACATAGGCACAACAACAATAATTGTTCTGTTTGTCTAAGCTCACCATATGATACACTGGTTAATGAGCAAATTATAGATTCTTCATCATGACAACAAAAATGTATTACATTCATTAACTGTGAACTAACATGAAATATTAGTATTTTTTCAGATTTCAATAAGAAAATCTAAATCATTTTAGTGAAAACAACATAGAAAAATTACAGTGAATAAACATCAATAAAGTAAGTAATGTCGCCACGACAACAACAAATAAAGATTACTTTGATAAAAACAACACAAAAGACATTGACTAACTTCTTATACCTTTTAAGACAAAACATACTTTGAAATACTATAGAAATAAGTAGAGCTTATAGGTGCAATTCGTAAACAGTTGAATCAATAAATTATCATCAATTCAACCAACTACTATTATAACATGATTTAGTAAATAAAATTCAACAACACACTATGATGCATTGACAATACTAATCTGAACAAAAAAACAACTGTATTGAGAACATTGAACAACATTAAAATAAAGTATACTTATGTATTATATTGTTTTGTCAATAGCTATATTTAATATAGATTGGCAAATTCTATTATAAATCACCTTTATAAAAGATACATACAATAAACAAAATGTTATTAAGTTTGTTTTATATTGTTTGTTGTTTATTTTTATTCTGCTGATGAAAATCATTACATGAGATGTTGAAATTCCAAATGAAATAGTAGACAACAGAAATTTCTGGTCTGAAAGATTATGCTTGAAGAAAAATGTAAACAACATTTACAAATACCATTGAAAAAGTGTAAATAAAATTCGGTGAAGTATAAATATATGCATATAAATTTATTTGATTCCCTCCACATTTATTGACAGTGAAAAAAAAGTTTGTAGAATGTAGTTACTTTAGTCTTTCGTCAGACTTTTCATCATTGTCAAATTACCTAAATTTAAGTATGGTCGGATACAAAAGTATGACATTATTTAGTCTGGGTAGTTGCGACATGATTTTGTCTCATTCCTCTGATACGTTATTTTACTTCAAACTCCCATCTCAGTTTCACGAACTGAATTATGCAAGACAATTAATAAGATAGAAATCAAATTATTCAAAATAATAGTGTCAGTGATAGTGAAAACTAATCAGGTAAATTAATCCTAAAAAACCAATAAATACTGAGCATGAAAAGTATGAATTAAAAATAACACTGAAAATCTTAAATAACATAAAAGAAATCGGATCCATCCTGTTGTTTACAATGTTAATCAACAACCTGTTGAAGATTTTCGCAATTGGCTCTGCTTAACAGAATTTGTACGGCAGTATGTGATACCGTGGGACTGTGTGAATCAAAGCCGATCAAATGGGGTCAGAACTTGTATCTCATTGATTACTTAAAGAAGACCTATGATAATAAGTGCGTGGTTTTAACTATCTGTGTAAATGACCACTTCAATAACCTCAACGAATAAAAGATTAAAAATAAAATTAGTCAGAGGCATCTGAGACTTACTATACCGATGGATTATCTTTCATTAAATAATTTGAAGACAAACGCCTATTATTAAGCTTTGGTCATTAATATTTACCATTCATCATCTCTGTAATGATATATGATATGACTTGATCAGAAAATACAGATCTAATAGATAAACCATTAATGGTTCTCAAGTATAACACACATACACTATTGAAGGCTTTGTTTAAAAAATAAACCAAGATGAAATTTCTATTGAATCACATACATTGTAAATACAAATACATTCTGTATACGTTAATTCTCAATTTTTCCGCTTTATATACTACACTTTGACTTATATCCGATTATGGAAAATATAAGCTACTTTTCATTTCATTCTTATTATTTTTATACTAATGATTGTGAACTTTTAAAACACTTCATAGATGATTTTCGTCATAAAGGTTTGGTTGTTCTTGCTTCTTATCTTCAGAACTTAAATGATCAGTTTCTGTTGGCACATGAGCTCCGCAGACAGTTTTCATGGCTCATCCTGAGTTTGTATGCAGATAATAGTTTCAATAATTTCCAACAATATAAACCGAGTGGACATAAGTAAGTATATTTAAATGACCAGTTGCAAGTAGGATGAAAACTAAACCTTAGATTTTCCATGATAGTCTCTACTAAAAATACATCATCATGAAGTCACTCTTCAGTCCCATCCAAAATTACTGAACTAAAATCTAGAGTTTTCAAAACTCGTTTTAAATGGTCAAAAATAAGTGAACTAAATTACTATTTAAAGTTATAGATATCTCAACTTCTTCAAACATACAAGAAAGTCAAAAAGCACTGGTTTAATTTGCTAATAGCTTCCTCATTAAGGTATCTATTTCATTATATGTTTATTTTTGTGATATTAATAGACTAAAGTAAATCTTGTTTTATTTCAGCTAAAATACACACTGGATCATTGTTTGTATCCGTTAAGGTGTGTTCATTTCATTTATGTACAAAGGAGTTTTATTAAACAAAAGCCTTAAGAAATCCAAAATGTAATTGTTTTTTTAATAGTATTTATCTCTATTTTTGTTTACTAACCTCAAACAGTCAAAATAAAGCGGCTGTTAGCAAAATTATGAAAATCGAAGTAACTCGAAGTAACAAAAAAACAAACTGGCTAACTTAAAATTTATGAATTTAACATGATTTTAAGGCGTTATACATTAGTAAACAAGCGAAAATAAAGTGAAAACAATACAAAAAATCGTATTGAAAATTTCTCCTGAAAAGTAAATACATTTTAACATGAAACTACATGCGTGAAGTGTTTAGGTGACAGTCTTATCCAAAATAGTTTGTGATAAAATATTTTTAATTTAACTAAAAGAGATGAAAAGAAGAATGAAATTTACTCAAAATAGATTGAAGGATCACAGTCTAAGATTAGAAATTACACATTCGCATAAATTTTGTTTATGAATTTTCTTAACTATAAGTAGGGTCTATACAACACAGTACTGAATACTGATTAACATGATTAATCGAAGTTAACTAATTTTTTTACAACAATGTTCCTTAGTTAGATTAAAGTAATATGAAATTTCTATGGACAGCATGCTTCTTTTATACTAAGATAATGAGCATTGATTTAAATCACAAAAACCGATTGGAATTTCATTTAACTTTAACTATTCATTTGAAACAGTTAAACAGATAGAGACAGAAACTTTATCGGTTCGTACTTTGAGGTGAATCAGATTAAATAAAATCTTTTTAAGCTAATCACAAAACTCTATTCTAAACTTTCTATGAATAACATTGGTATTATTTTCAATTCTTAATCACCTACTGAGTATCGAAAGTAATTAGATTCAAAATTCTCAATTTAAAGAAATTATTAAGTTTTTAGAATTTTTTTTTTCAAAAATAAATTAGGTCCTCTTCTATCATATTTTATTTATTTGTCTAGAACTACTCTCGTGAAATTATTTATACAAATAAACCAATATATAGAAAACATTAAAATAATCAGTAGCACACAGCATGAAAAGATTTTTCTTTACTGGTCATCGCTTCTTTGTATGTTAAAATTATTTTCATATTAATAATATGAAGTAGGATATTTGAAAGTTCAAATTATGTGTATAATTTTATACATGATCAACCTTTCTGTCTATCAATCCATTACAAAGAAAGGAATGAATTCATCCATTATTTTAGTTCTCATATTTTTTTACGTATTTTATGTAGTTAATCAATTACTTAATTTGTTTATTTACTATTTTAGAATTTTTACTGAATGATTGTTAAACATTAACATTTCATCACCATCATCATCATCATCATCATTTATAACTAAAATATTTTTAGAAACCATTTTAAACCAATCGCAGTAACTATTGAATATTACTTTCTTACTGAACATGTTTCCATGTTGAAATGGTCTGATCTGAAGTCTACTAGAATAATATCAAAAACAGAGAAGCATTAAACGACAAAAACACAAATCCTCTTCCATGATAACTTGAGTGATAGAACTTTGAAACCAGTTCAACATAATTAGGCTTTGTGAAAACGCCAAACTGAAAAGAGGAAACAACTATTTAATTTCTACTAATTTTCAATAGTTCTTCAGTTGACATCAGTTAGTGATAAAAATTGTCTTCGAAATAAACAAAACATTCCACCAAACTATCTGACTTCAAATTGTAGATAATCACTTTCAAATAAAACATAAACTAAATAATTATTTAAACTGTCGTTTTAGATTTACATCGGTGTGTATAAAATATGTCATATATATTTACGTCGTATGTGAAAGTTTATTACTAAATTCATCTAATTGTTACAGTGATATTCAATGCATAGACTAGAAACAAACAAAGAAGTTATTAAGCTCATCAGAACATGAGCACAAGATACTTTCAGCTATTATAATTCGCTGAAAACTGACATAAATCAGTAACCACCATAAATAATAAGAAATATCTCCATTATCTCGTTTCAAGGTATGTAATTATGAACTACTTTTAGTTTAGTTAACAAAATACAATACTTATAACATTTGTTACTTTAAACTTAATCTTTGTTCAATCTTGAACCCTAGTGCTAATTGACCTTGACAATAATATTGTATAATCCTATAATAAATTGTCAAAGTAACTGTCAATTGTTATCAGACCTCTTCATGTATATTACACAGAATTTGATACACGTTCAAATAGTTTTAGTGAGTATCCACAATCAACAGGTATCGGTTTTATTGAAGACGTTTAATATTAGCCTATAACCTGTTTTCATAAATATCAGTATACAAAGCCCTAAAAAATACAATTTCCCGAAACTGTATTTTTTTGTGCATATAATTAAAACTGAAACAATAGTTTACATGACAATGCTTGAACTCTAAAACATCTCGACTAACATGGAAATAGCCTACAAGCTTAGAACAATAATAATGGATGACTGGTGATTATCATAGAATAAATCGAAATGAGGGAAAGGATAAGTTTCCATATGAAAACACTATAGAAGTAATATGAGTTCTCAAATGGCTTTTCTTAGGAAAAAATAATTCAGCAGTAATAGGATATATTAATTATCAATAAATAAACCCTTCATTTCTATAAGCATTAAGTCTAACCGACATACATCGATTGGATCACTTGCTTTAATTAGTTAATTGCTAAAATTCAACAATTCAACAATAATCAAGTTGTCAGTGCTTGTTTCAGGCATTCAGTTAAAATCTCCGATAGAAAGACAAAGCCATAAAACCTATCATTTAGTTTGATTTATATGGTGTCGAATAATTCAGAATGAATTTCAAGATTCTATACACTTAGGTTTCTTTGATATAAACGTTTAACTTAAAGTAACCATAAATTAATTCTTCGATATGTCGACGCTATTAAAAATTCAATTAACTGAATGTCAATGAACACAAAACTATAATCCAGAGTTTTGTATAAAGTAATTCTGTACACAAACTATAAAATAAAGTTAGAAAAATTTCCCCTATATTGACATTCATTGAGTGTTAAGTGAAAAACATGAAAATTAAAAACAAACTCAACTTGGATGTGACCGGATAAAAATAAAAATGTAAAATTCTTCACCAATTGTTCGGCTGGTGATTGCATCAGTCAGTCAAATGCAACGTAGAACTATGTACGTATGTACATTGATTCAAGTAGTCATATCTCATTAGCATACGGAAATGAATTTATTAGAAAAAATCTCACAGTAGTAGAGGTAGTAACATTATTAATTGTAATAGAAAATATTATCCATAGAACATACACTTCGGAAAAATATAAATTGGTGAAATAAAAAAAATTATGAGCAATTCAGCGGCTAAGAATCTGGGGGGAAGATGAAAAGTAAATGCACCTGTACTACTGCAAATAATTTTGAGCCATGTCATTCAAAATTTCTAATCAGTAGTACGATAATTACACAGGCCCCAACCAGCTGGTCTACACCTATTAAAATAGCTCAGTCGAATCGTCAATGAACTCACGGACTAGTGCCTTGTTTTGGTTATATCAATGCAAACTCAAGCAGACCATCACATAACCATAATTTTTATTTATAGTTCTCTACATTTTGTTTTAAGATAAAATAATAAGCCAGTGACCTTTTACAGAACAAATGTTTTACAGTCAAAACATACCCAGAATTTAACCAAAAAGAATGTATTCATAGGTCCATGTTCCATAAGTTCTTTTAGGCTGTCTTCAGGAAATTTATCCCAGATTTGACTTGCATCTACTTGCTCCAAATTTGGGTCAGTGTATAATTGCTCGTTTAAAATGGGTCCAATGTGAACAAAATTGTGTACAATCGTCGTCGATTTAGGAGTTGTACTTAAATGAAAATCATGCGTATGAGTTCCCTGTCGTAAAATCAAGAACAAAGAAGACATTTAATTAGCGATTCCTGAAAAGAACGTAATGATAGTCATGGGCTTTATCCTAAAACTCTGTATAAGAAAACTATTAAATTATCCCATACAACATAGGATCTTTTGTAGATGTGGTGAATGGACAAAAATATGCTATTCAAATCAATCTTGTGAATATATATAACGTAGTAGAACTGAAGGGTTTTTTAGATAATAAAACTGTAATAATCTGTAGTCAGCAAAAGTTATTGTTATGATGTACTCCTGATTCTCTTACTCATTACATGACTACACCGAGAAACTATGAATATTTGAAATTGTATTGACCAAGTTTCTGGTGTCAGTGAATTCATGAAAAGCAACTTCTCACAGTTTTTGTTTACAAAAGAGTACAATAATTACGTTTTGAAATTCCATGTTTGAAGTTTTAGTATCCTAAAGATAATAAGCTAAGTAGAAAGTTGTTTAATTTTAAAGGTTTTTTATAAGAAACTACAAAACTTTGCAACCAACCATCTTAAAATGATGGAAGATGAAATTCTATGCATACATTGAATGATATGCACCGTTGCTCATGAAAACAAAGAAGTTATTATATGAAAAATAATAAAACATGTAGTTCTGAGTTTAATGCAATAATTTAGCCATCAAGAAAGAAATAGTGTTTGATTAGCATAATAAGTGCTTTTTCTTTCTTTAGTATTTTACGACAAAGTTTTTATATCTCCCAAAAACTGTGTGCTTTAAGATTGCTGCATATTACAAAAATATTCATATAAGTCCAAATTTATTAATGGTTGGTTATATTTAATACACTTATATTCGGATTTGTCATCAATACCTAGCACATAATAAGATGTATATTCATTTTTACCATTATTCACATAGAAGTATCATTAGCAAAACATATTATAAACTGTACATTAACCCTTCAATTGTTCTCCTAATGAAATTTACCTAATCATTTTCACAGTTAATTTAAGGTGTAATTTGTGAACTACGACAAACAACTGGCTAGTTGATTAGATAACCAGATGAATATATGGCTTTTCAATATATATTAGTTTGAATACAATAATCACAAATTATTTACAGATGATAAATAAGTGTATTAGATTATGCCTTATACATAAAGAAATTGACAAATATTGAATCCCATTTTCACTCATACAGGCCTGCGAAATGGCACTTATGAGTTTTTACAATACTTGGATTGTCAGAATGCCAGACGTGTCTTCACTGTGAATCACTATCACCTATTTATGCGTATGAATTTTATGAAAGGTCGAAGTTAATTCACCTAACATTTACCAGAAAAGGCTTGTTCTGAAAAAGGAAAATAACAGCGCTAATCATATATATATATATCAGATAATGGACTTTCACTACTTTCTATTAAAATATAAAATTTCTTTCAAGGTATTGAATTGTGAAAGAAAATTTTTTCGAACTGGAGTAAAAATGAATCTGATAAATTTAATGGTATTATTAACCAGAGAGCATGGTGTTTACATTTCATTCTGTGTTTTGCCAATTAAGGATTAAAAATCATAATATATTCGCTTAATAATTCGTATTACAACTAATCCACACATATAGCTAACCACCTGGTAGTTTATTCAGTTTTCATTGAGATCATTTATCAATCAATGTTAAACCACCACTGAAAATCTAGAAGCACTGAACGGCCGTTTCGTTGTAGTGTGGAACTCCTCAGCAGCCTAGATCCACGGTCCCACACGCAGGACTTGATGGTCTAACATTGATCGTTGCATGATCTTAATAAATGTTCAACAATCACCACAACTCCATACTGATAATTATTATTTTTTCCCTGGTGACTAGTTCCAAGAAGTAATTCTCGGAGTTCTACTGAGAAGTCGTAACCAGTAGAGTTCAACTGTGTTGGGTGTGGGACAGTCGCTCACTGTAGATAATAGATGATCGAGCAATATCGTGGATTGATTGAAGTTAAACATTAGCAATGTCGGATACCGACCCAGTGTTATAGAGGTTAAGCGTTCAAGTGAAGATGAAGGTCCAGAGTTCAAGTCCCGCGTGAAGGATTGTGAAAAGTCACTACCGAGGAGCCCTACACTAGAAAGAAATGGCCATCCAGTGCTTCCAGGTCTTCAACGATGGTTTAAAATTTATTCAAAGTTATTGAATGTATAAGATAACAGATTCACTCACATCGTTTCGATGGAAATTTTCCCCACATTTCAATGTTATACATATATATACGCTCACAATTTATTATAAGCAAAGTATATTCATAAGCTTATATGGCGTCGTTTATTTTCAAAAGCAACTAAATATAACAGTCACTTAGGTTTGAAAAATAGGAAGAAATAAGCAATAAGGAATTTGTTCTTATTTTTTTATTTATATATACAAAGTCAATGAATGTAGCATACCATTCTCTGAAAAAAAAGAGAAATGTTACGTCATAATTTCGTCTATATTTATGATTACCCGTGAACTAATATCATGTGCTCACGCCATGTGCACCCAGGTCAAAGATAATCGTATTTAAAAAAAACGTATTAAAAACACATCTACTAATCAATAAGTAAGTAAATATACAGACAATTAAATTTAATGATTCCTCGATTAGTTTTGATTTCACTAATAAACTCAGACAATTTAGTGTTTTGATTTGCTGTTTCATCAGAATGGCATGTTTTTTACTCTTAAAATGAATAATTGTTATGATAATTAAAATAGAAAAGATATAAAACTTTATCAAAAGATCATGGTTGTTTCAAAGGACCTAAGGTAAAACTGAACTTATTTTTCCATTGTCATTTATAGAGGCTATTAGAAATAGAATTTTAACTATTTTACTAAAACGTTTTTTTGAAATCTGCTTCAAAACTAGTTAAAATTGCATATCTACGGCTATACTTTAGTATAGACATGATGATCACTAAATAAAGTGTTAAAGTATTTGGAATATCTCCAAACTCTCATAAAAGTCAACCGCTTTTAACAAATAAACTATGACAGCCAAAGACAAAGAAGTGAAAACTATTTTACCAGTTGATAATTAATGAATAAGTGTATTTGACAAACTGTTATTAAGTTTGAGTTGAACATGATTATCATTATTATGTAAACTTTCAGAACTCTAACTTCACCGATGTTTAGAGATTCATCATGATATGGATTACAATCATTATATTAGCTTGACATTTTCGTGATCTGTGGATAAGAAACAATTACTAGTAGATGATAGTGCAAAACAGTAATGTTACACAGTACGCTGAATGAAGCTGAGAAACTATCCATAGCCTATCTAAAAAACATTTCCAAAACCCATCTATTTTTGAGAGAATCATGAAGAAGCAGTAACTATTACCTGAACAATAACGCCGACGCAGTTCATATAATTATTTATTTCTCAAAGGGAAACAAATAACTTATGTGAGTCGCTGATAGAAATTTATTTGAGAATACCGCTAATAGAGCTAGATTTAAATAGACGTAATATATAAATACTACCAAGACTATCCTCCTAGTTGATAAAACATGTCTTTTGTTGTTTAATCACAGATAACATCCGGTTGTTAGATTCATCAGGTGATTTAATACTTCTTACTAACAATATAAAAAAGATGTTTTCTATACTGAGACAATGATTATTGGGTGATATAATTGTATTGTATTGTATTTTCTTTTATCATTCATACCCGAATTGTTGATATTTGCATAAATTTGATAGTGCCAAGTTGATTTAATTTCAGGAATTATTTTACAATAGTAAAATGTAATCAAATCTAAGTTAATTTTATCCTTCAGCAAAATTAACATCATGATGATCATTACTATTACTATTAATAATGGGAACAATTTTATATTCAGGCCAGTAGTTGTTGTAGTAAATCGATCAGGTAGTTTGCTGGATAGATTCACGGATTGGTAACTGGGATAGTCATTCATATACACATAAACTGTGTGTTATTTTGTGACTGGGCTTATATGGATGGCGTATATATATATATATATATATATATATATATATGTCTAAACAAATTTTAGCTTCTAAACTAGCCTAATGTTCAATGGGTATAAAAGTCATACCAGGAAAGAGAAAACGTAAAATTTAACAAAATTATCCATGGATAGGCACACATGCAAACGGAGTAAAAACGCCGAGATACAGTTACATGAATTATGCTGGCACACAGCTGTAATTTCTTTTTTCAGATAAATCTAAACGTAATTGTATATTGTTTCCCTAGTTTTTTTATTAGTTCACTTAGTTCATTTTGTAAGAAACATTTATATAGAGAGAAATATATATGTAAATGAACACGTGAATACACTGAATGCAAGCACATTTCGTAGGTTGAATCGTAGGTGGGAAAATAGTACTTCTTTTTGTCAGCCAGATGAGCCAACCAAAACGAAAATACAAAAAAATAGGAACATTGAAGAACCTCATTAAATTGGCATAAACTAAATTTTATGTTAGTAAATATGGATCATGTTTGATGTATGACAGGTATCTGAAACTGAATTTTATTGAGTTTGAATATGTTGGTCGCTCTAAATTATTACTGACTAGTAAATTTGTGTTAATAAGCCGTATCAATAAATGCAGTCAGTATGCAATGGGTTAAATAACACGTTTTGATGAAGCATCGGATTCTAACAAAGCAGTTTATATATAAGTTAAAATTAAATTGGCATTAAATAACGAAACGTTAGTAAAAATGACCAACTTAGTCGTCTATAGGTCAAGCGTTCGGGCGTGAAACCGAAGGTCCGGGTTCCGGTCCCTGGTTTTGAGGTCGTGAATGCACACTGCTGTGGAGTCCCATCCAGTGCTTTCATGTTTTCAATGGTTATCTAACTTAGACCAGTTCGCCATTCCAATGTTATTACCAAGTTGCAAAATATATTCGTAACATTATAACTTAGATACCTAACATTCAATTTATGCTTAAGTACTGAATTTTGTTTGCCAGTTAATTTTCTATGAGTTTTATGGTACATGACAGTATTTGTGTCATACGACACTGCTTAGCTCTTATTAAAAGTCAAGAACAATAGTATTTCTACCTAGATAGCCTTATTCAATACATACGACTGATTTGCTTTCCTCCAGAACTCATAAACATTAAATATTTCAGTAATCATTTCAGCATTAAGAGTTCTGCAACTAAACGATCATTATCTACCATTAAAGATAGTATGATGAAAACACATAATGATGTTTTTGAAATGTATAGTATTGTACAGAACGTCCATTTTCTAGAATTAAATGAGAATTATTGGACTAATCAGCAAAGTGAGGTTCACAGGTTCAAAATTATGTCACTGATATATGGTAAATTGCGTCAAGAATGGGACTATTCTCTATACTATCAAAGAGTCTCATAAAAGTTTACAAATTAAATTCACTGTGACAGATTTCAAAGGACTGATGAAATTGTGTTTCTTTATGATAAAATAATCTTAGCAATACATTTACTATAAAGAAAGTGGAAGTAGGTTTAAATTACGATAATAAAACAATAAATAACTGCGAATTATATTAACTTACATTGGACTGTGATTTCGACGTTGAACTTATCATGTAGGCACTTAATTCAACCAATCTCATTTTAGGTGCTGTAACTGATCGTCCCATCCATTTGGGTATATTGATATTTTTTAAATCCTCTGGTGTTGTATTAGTAACCATAGTAGAAACATTTACATTTGACAGTGATATATTTTTTTCTGCACTCTAGAAATTTTTTATGAGATACAAAATAGATAGTAAATGAACTTACCTCTACAATCATTTTTCTAGAATATTTTGGGGAATCTGAAATAGAATCATCGCTATCCCTTGAAGGATTCATTGAAGAATAAGAAATTTCTCGTAAGAAATTCATTGTTCCATCATCACTTAGTTGTTTATTAGTGGTTGCTAATGCATTTGCAATTAAATCACTATAATTGTTATTGTTATTACGGTGAGCATGATTAACATTTAATTGTTCCATTAAAACTGGATTTTGTTTAGGTACAACTGTCGAAGGAAATGTATTTATATTTGATTTAGCTGACAGTACAGATGCATGATGAGATGATGATGGTGATGATGATGATGACAGTAAAGAATTTGTTGGCCATAAAACAGATGTTATTGATGTACATTGTTGTTCATAGGTTGCAACTGAAGCAACATGTGCAGCTGCCATTGCTACGGCTGCTGATGCTGATGGTATGGTTGATGTCATTGAAGAGCCTAGTGAATTAGGCACTGAGAGAGTTGATGTAAAACTCGGTACTGAGGATAACGAAGAGATTGACGAGCAATTTGAGGAGGATATGGAAGAATCAGTATTATTGTTGATAGTGGTAGTAGTATTATGTATTTTTTGGGGAATCGCGTTATTATTATCATTATTATTGTTATAGTGATTAGATGGACAGTATAATAACTGACCAACTGATGTTTTGACAAGAACTAGTCCGTCAGGTTGTAAATTTGGTAATATAACAGAGGAATTATTTATTGGTAATGTGGATTGTAAACGATTATCATTATTTACTAAAGATGAAGTTGATGGAGAAGACGACTGATTTCGATGATTATTTGAAGTGATTGTCATAAGATTATCTAACGCCAAGGGAAAATTTAGTTGTTTTGAATCAATTTCGTGTTGATGTTTACTATCGACAGGTCCAAGAAGTTTGTTATGCAAATCCAATGTATCCGAATTTCGACTGAATAAATTTGATTGTTGTTGAGATCTTAAGGCTAAAAACGCCTCATATGGATAAGATAACTGTGAACTATCATTATTCACCATATTTCCTTGTTGTCGTATATCAAATGAATACGGTGGTAAAGATGAATTTATAGGAAGAAGATGGGCCAGTGTAGCTTGACTAGAAGGATTTAAATTGATATGATTATATTGGGTCGTTTTATCATCTTGTATTACTGTAGAATATGAACAGTTTTCTTAAAAGGAAAAAGCGAAAATCTTTCATTCAACTTCGAAAAAATCAAAATATATCAAAATTTACTGTAATAGAAGCAAATTTGTTTACAGACTGATATCAGCTGAAGAATAATTAAAAAAAAATAATTTAGTGGTGAGGGATTTAGTTTTTTTAATTATATAAAGACAACTTGGTGTCAGAAATGAACTCAAGTTAAAAATATCGATACTGAATCATTGAAAGACCTATTACTCAGTGGAAAACAAAGTGTATTATTGGTGTCTTTATACTGTCATATCTATCAGGAGTTTAGATTATCGGTTAAACTTTAAACTGAAATTCAAATTTTCCCTTGTTTTTCTTTAGATAAACATCTAAACCATTTCGATTTTTGAAAATTCAAATGAATGATGACATTATTAATAGTAAGTAAACTATGATTGTGGATGTGCACTACTGAGGAGTCTCATACTAGAACGAAACGGTAGTCTAGTGCTACCAGGTTTTCCATGGTGATCTAAACTTGATCGACTGACTCATGAATTCAACTATTAAACTACCAAGTATTTTTTTTCTAAAACTACATCAAGTAATATCAGTAATTAACAGAAAAATTGGTTAAACGTATTTTATTCCCGTTAGAAACTATATTGGTCAAAGTCATATACAATAGATATATATATATACAGTTGTCTTTTTCTAATGTGTTAATAACTAGGAACGTTATTCCATATTGAGATGTTCTTTCACGGTTATCACATTTATACTGACTTAGTGACAATTTATTTACTGAAAACACTATACTGAAGTCCTACACCATTCAGCCTTACAGATTACCAGCCTTTTACAAGTTACGGAATTTCCAAATGGCATTAAAAGTGTACTTATCAGATTCATTTCTACATAAAGTTGAGTAGTATGAAGTACCTAATAGACCTGTTTTATCAATAAGAAATGTCAATACAATATACGTATACACCTTTCCATTCATAAATAAATAGTTAATAGCATATATTACAGCTAATTTATACAATCTATGTAATGTTGTCTTATCCCGACTCTGTATAACCTCAATAAAATAAAAGTATCATGTAAACGAGCAAAAGTTAGTCAATTTATACCCTTGTGTGATATAACTTACCTTGAGCTTTACCTTTAACTAAATTTTTATTACTAATTGTAAAATTGTTTTGAATATTATTATTGATAGCTGTTGAAGAGGGGTATTTATGCAGATTTTCAAGATATAAACCATTACTTTTATGCTTTAATTCTCTATTATTAGAATGTATATCATTAATATGAGGACTTCTATCAGTGACAATATCTTCAACAATTAAATTATGCATATCACTTCGATTATTTGTCATATTCAAAGGATGTGAATTTGACAATTTAATTTCATTGATCTTCTCGTCGTCTGTTGATGGATGAATTCCAGATGATGTCACTGGTAATCCACCAGATGTTGAGATAGACGGTAAGGTTTTGGAACCAAGCACTCCTGCAGACACAATTTGTGCGGAACTGAGCATTGATAGATGCATAATAGCTCGTTGTTTCGTATCAGGATCCTTAATCTGAGCTTGAAGTTCTTTAGATTTTCGACGAGCCAATACTTGAATGTGACTTGAAACTTGTTTTCTGCTTCGAATCTTTCCAGTGTGTTGATATATATATCTAGCAATTAATTCATTTCGTCCTGTCACATTAAGAAGAAAATACACAACTGTATATTTTAACAAGAATGAAATGGATATAGTTATGGACATGATTTATCCACTTAGCATTAACAAATTTGAAAATACAAACTTCACAGAGTTTATCTCAAAGCTAATAAACATTATGTTGACTGAAAATTAAAAATAACTCGGCTGAGATAAGTATACATATGATTGTTTGACAAACTCAATATCACAAGGATAATGAGAAATATTAACTTATATTTCAACTAGATGAAGAGAATTTGCTTAGACGACAGACTTTAGCGTTTAGCGAAAACTGTTTTCAAATTAAAATGAATAATTTCACAAGCTACCCACATAATAATAATAACAATAACCCTACAACTACTGCTAATAATAGTTGCAATGTTAAACGTATTACTAAATAACATTTAACTGGTATTTCCGACAATTCAGTGTTAAGTGGTAACATAACAGTTACCATTGACAGCATTGGGTAATGTTTGTAGTATATTACGAACCGATAGAAACTGAAAATATAGACAACTAATTTCCTAATGAATTGTCTAATAGGTTTGTGCCCACGCAGAAAATTGGGGGTCATATATTCTACTCTGTTTGGATTTTGATTGTCAACAACCGAGTGGTCTCAAACTCAAGTGAAACACCTGTCAAGTGACCCATAATTTTCAATTGTTTTCCAATTAGTATCATTTAGTAAATAAACACGATTTCCATGGGACCTATTGTAAGCATTTTTTTTCTTGAATTCGACTGCTTTTTCATATTCTGTTTTGCTTCTTTGGATGGTAAATTTTTACGGGAATGATTTCGCACACCTTTAATAATTTTCGTCTTCACTTATAAAACTAATTGCAAATGAGTATATTTTAGAAAAACTTTAGATGTTTCGCTTCAATATACAAATGAATTTTCAAAGCCCTCAAGAATATTGTGTTTCATTTCCTACTTTTGTAATGTTCAACAAAGCAGACATATACTCTCTTAAACTGTAAAACGATTAACTACGACACTTTAATGCAAGCTATTATTTGGTATTCCAATAATTACAGTTTGCCCATCCAAATCTCTTCAAATTTTCAGAATTCAGAAGATACTATTTGCTGTATATTTAGTTTCATTTGATCACTGTCAATCATTTTTCTAAAGTGAGAATTTATTTAGACGAGTAAATGGAATAAGCTCTAGTTCACTTCTAATCATACTATATATTTTGAATAAAAACAACGGATAGTATGAATCAAGAGGGATGAATGCAATTAGTGAATGATCTTTGTTTACTGTAACCTAACCTAACCATAAATTGTTGATGTAACTAAGACCAAGTATTGAATAATTCCTTTTATATGCTATTATATGTATGGTTAATAATTTTTTTTGTTTATTCTGTGCGTAATCAGTTATGCTTCAGCTGAATCAATTAGAATTATCTTTTAAGCACTTCCCCCACATTGAAGCAGTTAGGATTGATTCTTAAAAATGTCAGAAAATTTATTATAAATGTCCTGAATAGTACACAAGGAACATCATTAATCTTTCTCCCGAGGCTGATATGACATACTCTTTGTGGGCATGTACCCGTTTGGCAAATTGTTTTCCTTAAATTATTGACAAGTGTACATAACTCTAGGATCATTTATCAATGGTTTTATAGTTTTAATTATCACTTAATATTACCTGATGTAAAGATTTGTCAATTAATTTATATAATATCAGTTTATAAACCTCCAGTTATTAAGTTCGATTTACTTTAGTTTCAACATTTAAGAAGTATGTTGAAGTATTCCCAGGTCTAACACTTAACTCCGATTGAAGAAACAGAAGAAATAACATTACTCTAAAATTTCGAATAACTTTATTCATGAGAACGATAAAATTTGAATTATATTTTATGGATGGTAGTTACAACAAAGGCATTGGTTAAGCACAAACTGAATGACTTATATTTCCCTTACGATCTATTATTATTAACAACAAATCAAATGGTCCTCTAACAGTTTTATGCCATAAGCTATTTAACTTGAAAACAGTATGGATATTTTTTAAACAACTGGTTAAATACTTAAGGTATCTTGTAAAAAAAAAACTATAAACCACTCTATTCCAAGTTAATAAGTTCTATTAGAAAATAAAACCTAATTTATTCTTAAAGTATTGCGATGTAAATTTGCCTTCAATTACAAACACTTCAAGTATTTATTGACTAAATACATGAGCCATCTAAATTTCATATTTGGTATAGAAATACAAAATTACAAGTACCTATTTAATGCATTAGTATAAAACATATTGAAATAATTAATTAAGGTACACCCATTTTTTGCTTTTTTTTTTCTGTGCAGGTTAAGTTGGAAATAGAACAAACAAAATTATGTGACAACACCTTTTATTAGATAAATTCCATCACTTAATAAGACAGATAAAATGTAGATATAAGTAGACATACATTAAGTTGCCGAATTAGTTTTAACTTACTATGAATGAATGTGTGAAAACAATTCATGTCCACTGGAATTTTTCTTTTTAAATCGTTAAAATATATGTATATTGAAAGTGTGAAGTTTAATAAAGTTGATGCAATATAAACTTCAGTAAAAGTGAAATAGTATTTGAATTTAGTAAGATTTATCCGATAAACATATGAATATATTTCACACTTAAGATGAGTGGCATAGACTACTATATAAAATTAAATAATTGTCATTTGTGTTGTGAAATCAGAAACATGTATTGTGAATATACACTGATTATCTAACCCTATTACGTGTAATTTTAGTAAAGAATAAGGAAGCAAAGTTTTGAAGTAACTAAATTAAAACAGAATAATTTTATTTAATTATTAAATTTTCAAATAATACCCGATTAAAATATAATGCAAATGAAAACTTCGAATATTAGTTCATAATGTTCAAGACGATTGTCCAAATCAGTCATTTTAAAAACTAATATGCGGTCATTAAATTCAATTGATATTCTTTGTTTGATTCTCTTATTTCCTTGATACAGTGAATCTACCTGCTTAACTTAAGTATATCATCTGAAAAGTCAACAGATAACCAAAAAGTCTCCACTAGGAAATAAATAACTAATACTTATTCTTTTTATAGTTACATTTACACCGAAGTTAAGAATCCATTTAGAGTTTGTAATAAGATTATAAGAAATCATCAATACATGCAAATTACATGGTGATTTATACTTTTAACCTGTTACCTAGATGTCTTTAATAGCTACCACGCACAATAAAATTTTACATCCTTTCAGTTGGGTACTAGTAGTAGGAAAACGAAATTGATCATTTCTCACGCAACACAAACAAGAAGAATTTACAGCGCTATCGTCATGGATAGAGAATTAAATATTATGACAAAAGTATCGATCAAAGGTAAGTGACATAGCTAGATTTGATGACAAAAATTTAAAGCTCGAATCTTTAATGTCAGTACTAAAGAGAATGTTTCATGTGAGCATTGAATCTGAAGATGATAAAGTTGCAGATATTTTGAAGATCAGGATTTCCATCTCTCTCAAAATAACATACTTGGAATCAACTCTAACGTAAGTTCTCTTCAGTCTTTCTATATTCACCAGTAGCCTTAAGCATAAGTTCTTGCTTATAACCACTTTTACGTACATTTATCAATCAACCAGTTTCTGTGTATCTAAGTAAATTAGTAGTTCGATGCGCATTTCATACAAAATAGTTTATGAACGTTATGCTGAATGACTGGAAAAGGTTAGAGATGGAAGCGCAATATAAACCACCTAGTAATCAAATTCCATTCTATCAAAAAATTAATCGTCGTTTAAATTTATCTGCAAGGTAAACGAACACCTACTAATGATTTTTAGTTGCCATCTCCTTGGTACCATCAGAGCTTTTATCATACATTTGGTGAAGCTATGGTTGTCCATACAAAAGAAACTTATTCAATTTGTACTCATACGATGCTCTTAACATCTAACCATCATTCTACCTCTTCCCGTCATTATATAGATCTTTTATCCCTAACTGACTTATTTCTATTTTTTATATCCTCATATATCATTTTAATTTCGAAATTTCATTTTATCGAGTTACCAAGTCCATTCTAACAATTATAAATCTTCATCCAACTTCTGTGGGATTCGCGATAAGTATTCAAGCTCTTAGCGATTATATTTTCAGTTTCTTCGCTATTACTATGTTTGGTAAATTTTTATTATCACCAAACTAATTATCAATTATCACTATGCAAAAAGTATTGATATGCGATTGCACAGCTTTGAAAATGAATTCATCTGAAATGGAAGTTTTTGGTAAACAACTCATTCTACAAATGCCACAAGTTCACCCGTGTAATAAACCCTTTTATTATAATAGAACTCATGGAATGGTGAAATGAAAAATACAAAAATTCTAAGTGTTTCCCTTCTAGTATTGACTTCAGATTATCGTGAAGATAACTTTTGAAGCATTTCGAAATAACAATGGAAATTCTCGGTACTGAAACATCAAATTAAACTACATAGTCTGTAAGTTTTAGAAAATAAATACAGTAACTTACCATACATTTTTCCCTCTTCCGATAGTATAATTTTCCTACGTCCACATGGTGGATATATTGCTAGAGCTTCCTGAAAACATTGTTCTATATCCATCGACCAAACACCTTCAACATCTGTGGAACTCGAGTTCTCATGAGCATCCATATCAGAACCGGAATTACTGACACAGTCATCGTCAAAATGAAAATCTGCAGAATTTGTTGATAATCGCTTCGGCGTTGTAGGCGCTGGACGTTTACCTGATCTTATTTGATGATTAGAACTAGTATTTATCGAATTACAATAGAATGATCCATTTGAAATGGTAGTTGTGACAGAGGGAAGAGTAAGGACAGGATTAAGCGGTGGAGGGCTTCTTTTTAATTGTGTATTAAGATGATGATGAGAATGAAGATGTTGTTGCAGCGCATTATTTGATTCAGTTATCAAATGTTCATGTGTTATCCCAGAATTCTCCAAATGTAACGAACGTGGCGATTTAGCAGAAGCATTATCAGATAATGATTTGTTTATATACATTTTAACAGATCCTAAATCTGAATCCATATTATGTTTAGATACAGTTTTACTCAAATTAATTAAGGAATTTCCCCCACTTGAATGATTCCCGTTGTTGTTGTTGTTATTGTTATGATGATGATGATGATTGTTATTAGAGATTGTCATTTGAACTGAATCACCATCACTACTAGAACCGTTCCCATCTCCAGAGGCTGCAGCCATCGCAGTTGCAGATGTGAGATTCGGGATTAAAAAACCTGGTTTACCTTTACAAATTTCCATGCTCCAAATAATATTTATATGTGTATGTGATAAATGTTTACAAGTATGTGTGCATATATGTACAAATATTTCCACCAGCTCTTTCTGTGACAAATATCTCAATATATTTGTTTATATTTACGTATACTTAGTTTTTTTCCATCCAATAAATAAAATCGAAATCTGTCTTTTCTATTTATTCCTCCACTCAATAGAAAAATGGTATTATCATGTTTTGTGCTATTGTGAAATATGCTGAAGAGATGAAGCGATAATATGTGAATTAATAAGCGAATACATAGGAATGAGAGAGAAGAAATTATGCTCTGTAAAATTAATCAATTTCTAAAGATAAATATATTTACATGTCTGACCTATAATGAACATATTCACAGTGTCATCCTAGTTACTGTCAGTGTCACTGGATATATTGATAGGGTGAGGTAAATATACTATTTTAAGCTAAAGCAGAAGTAACGTTTTGAACTTAAATATACTTGCTCAAAATAAAACCACTATAGACTTTAAAGACATTTTCTAAATTCATGACTAACCAAGCCTCAGATATTTAAAGCATATGAAGTCATTAGTATTAGGACCGAAATGCTTAGTGTTTTACAGATCCATTATGTCCCTCTATGTGCGTGTTGTGATGTTTGATGTGACAGGGGTGAAGGGAGTGAATAGGGAGATGAGTGGACAAAATGAAAATAGACAGATTGTTCGGGTAGGAGAGTAAATGCTTCGGAATGTGCATAAATGTGTTTCGGGGGTGAGTAACTGCTAACATTAATTGTCAAAGTAATTTACTTTAAATCAAAAAAATCATTTACTGTTATTCCTTGTTATCTTGTCAATTTTGAGTTCAGACTTTTATACAGTTAAAAAAATAAAAATATAAATTTCTTTTCTCTTCTAATTTCATTCATACAGAACCCAGTTACAAAAGTTTTATTTAATGAACACGATATACAAATATATCCTGTCCTGTGATTGAGATAACAATTTCATTTGACCGAGTAACATAAAAATAGGCTTGTTTTTGGATTTCCACTGGTAAGATTGTAGGCATCCTTTCTCTTTTCAATGTTACGCACATATATAATCAATTTCAGATTTGAGAAACAACACAGTCACCATAACAATATTTATACGGTTTATAAGTTAGGATATTCCGTAGGCTACTTTATTGAAAAAAACTGTAAATTAGGGAAAATCGTATAAAATGATTCATTTTTTAAGAGAGCAAGTCATTGGCATAGTTGCAAAACAAGGAATGGATAGTACAGCGTTCCAGTAACAAAGTATTCAAACGATAAATAGGGCATTGGTTATATGAAGTCCCAAACAATTTTCATTTCCTATATTCCATTTTTTTCAATAGTTCTGTCTGTACAACGAGGCAACTAGTGTAGTCGTAAATAAATCTTAAAAATGAATAGTTCTGTAAGTCTTCAATATCAATGCTAACCCTATTGGTTTGACTAAAATCACACTAGCCGAAGGTGCGCCATCACTGTTCCGCTTCAGATCACGAGTGGGTATGCCGTGCTAAGCATCCCTCAGAACAACTAGCCAGATTAAATCAAACGTTTCTCAAAACACCGATAATCTTCCAAATCTATCTTCGAACTAATTCATTCCTGACTTCCGATTTGACTGGGTTGGTATCCTCTGAGTATGAAGGTATTACAGACAGAAGCGTTGTTGAACCCTGAATATCTATGCCATATTTACAAGCAACAGTAACCTAAATGACTACAATGGTATAAGCTAAACTCAGAAATTAATATCAAAGGCTATCGTTGATGGTGCAATTTATTATATATGACTAGAATTGAATGGTTATGTTTGTGAACGGCAACACAAGATATTATCAGTTTGTTTAGTCACTACAACAGTGGAGTGTTTATTCTTATGTATCACAGAAAATATCAATGCAATCACAGAAGTTACGAAAATCATATTGTCTACTTCCTAGTCCTGATCTAACTCCAGCGATCGTTTGCTTCTAACCACCTAGTGCCATGATAAATAACTGGATGGTGCCTTGTTGTTCGCCAGATTAAAAGCCAACTAAGTAATAGATGAAGATGTTGTCAAACATTGTCGTATTCTAGCGATAAATTATCGGAATAAACACTCATAAAAAGATAGTAATAATAGTCAGAAGTTCTTACAAAGCTCAATATAATGCATAAAGAAATTAAAGCTCATAAAATGAGTAGTATTTGTATTCTTATAGTGTTTTCGTCACATTTGATAACTAGCCACTATCATGTAGCTAAAAATACAAAATGCTTAATATGGTAAATCTTTTACAATTTTAATCACATAATTATCTATCATCGACAAACATATCTCCGGACAACAGTTTATTTAGTTTATGTTTCCAAACTCTTCAGCAAGACAATTTATACTAAAAAAACAGCAGTTTAAAAAGACACTTATATTCTAATCAAAGAGAACTTATAATTCAGAAACTCAAATTAAAATCTGAATTAAAAAAATGAATTTAAGCAAAATAACAGGAATGTTTTGTGTTTCAGTAAAAACAAGTAAATAAAAACACAAATATTTGAAATTTTAAAAAATGTTACTCATCCGCATGTGTATAAATTATTATGATAATCATCATTATTATTATTATTAGATTAAATCAAACTAAACATTCATTGACACATATCATCTTAAAGATAAACAAACCATTTGACATTTATCATACTCCTGACATAATATAAGTTTAGAATCTATCCAACATGTACTAGGGAAAGAAAATATTCAATGCAATAGATAACATTTACCTATTTGTATGTAGTTGTATATTATAACTTGACATTTGCCATTTTAATGTACTCATTATTTATAAAACAAATTGACTTCGTAATATTACATTTACATCAAACCTGAGTGTCAATCGAATAAATATGCAGAAACGATTAACTATAGCAATCTGTTTGTCCAACTCCGCCTGTAGCTCTCATAGGGTTACTGCCGGTCCCAAGCCCGGGTAAAGGAGGAGGGTTGGGCATGGGGTTAGCGTCCCCATCCCGTAGAAAACTAACTCGCTAAAAAAACGCTTACCAGAAAAAATCTGTTTCTCCTGTGATTTAAATAAATTTTAATCAATCACTTATCATTAGTGAGATACACATCAAAAGAGGTGGTTGATCACAAAACTCAAGAATAGATTTTAATTTGTCTTCACTTTTCTGTTGGAAAATATTTATCAAGTGATTCTGTTTATTGTTTTAAGGGATATTTAACATAATTTTTTTAGGTTAAACATTTAAGAGGCTTATGTGAAGAATTGTGTTATGAAACCTAAGGAACCATGTAACGTATATACCAAAGTATTTAATAGTGATTTAAAAGTTAAATATACTAAGTGTGGTAAACACATACACTTTGATTTATAAATTTGTTTTGGAATATCTTGCTCACTTTGAAGTCTAAACATTCAAAGTTCTAGCATAAGTGGGGCTATATATGCATCTAGCTAAGTAATTTTATTTGGGAAAAAATCCGTGCCATAGTCCATTCTGGTTTTCAACATTGTTTGCTCCATCTTAAAATGATCGAAATCTCCCGACAATTAAAATAATTTTTAATATAATAGAACTCGTTTATTAGCAATCTTAATAGTACTTCCTGTAAGATCAATAAAATTCATTTCATTGTGTTGACAACATATACAACCGCCCAATTATGAGTAGAGGGTAACAAAGAAATATGTCTATTGACTAATCATTATTGAATTAAGGATCAAAATCTAAACAAAATGAATAATTTCCTCCAAATAGCTGTTTTCCAAACAAAGACTGTGGTTATAGCAGCCTTTTTAATATTTAATATCAGCATCGTATCCTGTAAATCTAATAATGTTCTATTCATTTATTGAGTGAGTGATGATTATTATAGTGTGATTTTCATCAGAGTTAATTTCATTTCATAGCAGGAAAAATGTCAGATCAAAAACATGGTAAACGCTAGGACTTGAAATGTTGGATAACAATTATGCTCCAGTATTTAGTACTCAATCAGTAAATGAACAGGAAAATGAACTAAAGTTTTGGACATGATATATACACTTAGTGAACAAAGAAGTTGTTGATAATCTCAGTACGAATAAATCAAACAAAAGTTCCTATCACAAACTTTATTAAACATGACCAATTAGTATAAACGTGAGTAGATCCTTCATAATACTCTGAATTCCCTTAAAGTTTTGTATTTCGATCAATATCAACAAATAAACATCAATAAAAGACAAATATCTTTTTAAAATTATCTCTGTTTAGTCTCATCAGCAACGTGAACTCGAAAGTATCTTCTAATAAATTATATTTAGATGTTGAGAGACTCATAAATGGGTTGATAATTGTCTTGGATGACTAATTACTTGAGAAATCAACTAACTGATTGGATGGTAAGATACATCCACTCTATTTTCTTTTCACTACTTTCTTTCTGTCATAACTATGAGATAAGTGTTTATACTTATGAAATGATGAATAAATACAACATAATTTACTTTCTCATAAACTTACAATTAACTTGTCTCGTTCACATCATTGTTAATCACAAGGTTAATTAAATCGAAATCGGTAAAGAATACTCAATTTGTACTCTTCTCATGTTGTTTTAATAAACTTCAAAAACATTTTATTATTCACACGACTTTTAAGCAAAATAACCTTTTATATTTCGGATTTGACATTTATATCTCCAGACATTCCGTAATGTTTTTTTACCTTTAACTACCGGTTTACAAACATCGATGATAAAAGTAATCTAGTCAAACAGTAAGATTAATGGTATCACCTTTTTTTAACATAAACTAGTTATAGCATTAATTATTTATTTACTGTGATAGATCATCGTTTATTAAAGTGAAAAAGAAGATATGGTAACTTACACATATAGTTAATCTCATTTTTTTTTTAAATAAATGATCCTGACATTTTTGCATAATGAACTTGGTTTTGTTCTGTGTATACATGCAAGGAGAAGTGACGGTAATACACATTAAAAGGGAGAAAGAAAGCATAATTTTGATATCCTTTCAATACATGTGTATACATCTATCATTGCATGTATGTTTGTATGTATGTTTTATATTCAAGGGGGTAAATAACGACGAGTTAGTAGGCCTGCGTATTGTTCTTTTGATCAAAGTTGATTGATATTCAGACATAAAATCAATTGTGTTCAGCTGGAGAAATTTATACAAACGAATAATACGCGTCAATGTA